CCGTTGGAAAGCATACGGAATAACCCACCCCCTACTCATGCTGGGACTGAGGACAAGCCAGAGCCTGGATTTGGTACACCAAATGGCAGAGGGGGTCCTGAGGACTTAGCGGATGCCATAGAAGGCATTGCCGGTGGGATGGCAGGATATAAGAAACTTCATAGGTGGGCACCGGGAGTGGTCAATTATTTGAGAACAGGGGAAAAATATATCAAAAGGGCGGAATAGCATGAAGAAAATGCAGATCACATGAATGCGTGAGCCTTAACGTGCACTAATATGACGGATACTATTTTGTTGATAAGGATTATGGCCCGTTGGAAGTAACTTCCCGTTGCAAATCGCTAATTTTGGCAGATTATACATGGAGTATGTTGGGGACAGAAGTGCCTTTATGGATCATGGAAAGCCAATCTTTAGTTAAAAAGACTAATTCCTAAAGCCCTCATTTGCCTGTTACCTCAAACAGTATTGATCGTGTGGCTAAATCGGAGACACTGCTCTGCAGAGTAGTTTTAGGAAGTGATGAATGTGTCAGAATATCTTTCGGTAGATCACCTGCCCCTCTTCGGGGATGTAGCTTTCACCCCATATTACTGGCTCTTCTAAAGCTTAGTGTCTCTAACAGCTCATTCAGGATCACACACAAGACAGTAGAAGCACACATGCCGTTCTACGGCACAATACGCTCTTAATTTGACGGGGCATCATCATGCACTGGAAGTAAGGATCATATGGTCTGAGTGTGTTATTGTGCGGCACGAGACTGGTATTATTGTCAATCGCTTCAGAATTTCTCATTCCTCAAACCCTCTTGCTTTTAATTCTACAAGACATCCTGTGTTTAGAGTCGTTGTACTTACAAGATGTACTGCATTGCCTGCAAGGGCGTACTACCATTGAGTTCGTTCCTTCTCCGCAACTTGTCCAAAAGTCCTGACACCCCAATTTGTATCTTTCGTAACGTATTCTGTTTCAACTTATCGCATCAACAGACTCAGTTCTACTATTAGTGGAAAGGGCGTCATTTGTTCTATGCATGTTTGAAGTAGAGTATCTCACCTCAATTGCAATGCATGTCAAGCACAGAGGCCATTACCAGACTTCCCAATGTGCATAATTCTGCAGGCTTCTTGTGGAGATATTCTATCTTCTAAGGAACTTTGTATACAACTTATGGTACTGTAACTGTTTGGATCAACTATCACTGCTCCCTTACCTCACCAGAGTGGCGGGACGGCCTGCCGGCTTCGAGTTCCGTTATTACGCGACCGAAGATTCTTCCGCCATTTCTCTGTGTTAAAAGAGGACGTTGCGTCTCTGATTTCTAAGAAATGCTATAATAAACTACTAATAAGGCAGAGGCCGCTCCTCAATTTTTTTTTTAAAACAGGTTTGAACGATATTTGAACGACACTTAGGGTTTCAGCGTTTTCGGCTATTATCATACTGCAACCCAGCTCCCTTCCATAGGCTTGTTATGTGAATTATTACAAAAAAAAAAAAAAAAAGGATCTAAAAATACTGCAACTCAGAGTACTATTACGGCAAGCTTGAGGGTAAAACCCTAGAACGTAAGTAGCAAAACGGTCTGAATAAAGGCAGCAGCAAAGAGAGACAAAAAAGAGTCATAACTAGCCGAATGCGTAAGCTTACATCTCAGACCTCCATTCACCCAGCGCAAGGAGCAGGATTACTGTCAATTGTGACAGTAATTTGGAGGGAAACAGTACCTTTGACAATTCAATTTGCCAGAACACCACAAGCCCCAAATTCTGTATCTACATTAACAAAAAAGCTGATTCACTTTGAGAAAAAGTCCCAAGTTTTCCTTTGGCTGTAATAGATTACCTGAAGCACAGGTATATACAGCAAAGAGACCGAAAGTTACCTAATGGAAGCATTCCAGTTTCTTACTTCCTCTTCTGAACACTGGATTTCTTCCGTTGGGTCAGGGCTCGGCTTCTCGGCGGTTGGTAAATGCGGAAATGGAACGTTGCGGTTATGTTGCCGCTCCAGAATTTCCCTACGCTATTTGGCAGTGATGTGCTTTTTGTTCTGAGCAGTTTTGAGTTGGGAAATGCTAGCTTACGCTCAGCTATGTTCGTTCGCTTTCCAGTTTCTCTTGTGTTTCTCTGCTGCTCCCATTACCCAGACGATTTCTTCAGCACCGTAGGCCTACTTCGGCCTCATAAATGTACCCCCAACCGCGAACATAATTTCCCGTTCTTAGGCCCATTTGTTACGCCAGATGGTCTCTTCCTTCCGCATGTCCGGAGTGAGCTTGGCAAGAAGTCCTCGCTCGAAGGGAGGTAGTGTATATGGTGTCTGGTTAGCGGTGCATGAATTGTCTGTAGTATTTCCTCAAGTTCAGTTACTGATAACGTCGGTGTATCGGAACTATAAACTTACACCGTAGCCTGAGCTGACAGTGCAGGGGCATCGGGTGGTAGAGTGTTGAGCGCAGGGATATGCGGTTCCTTTCCAACTGCCGCTTGACTCTCTACCACATGTTGCCAAACTCCTTACTATGAAGTTGCGGAGGCCAAATTCAGCCAACTGCAAGAGGGCCCGTGGAATGCTGGCTTCAAAAATTCCAGAGTGCTGAGTAAGGGTTTGACCCCTGGAATGTTGGGAGTTATCAGCATGTTAGTTATACCTGATAAAACGGTTTAAACTTCCGTCTCGTATTGAGGGATAGCAAGAACATAGAGAAATTTACAGGAGGTGTTGTTGCAACGAGGAGTTGGGATCGAAGAAGCAAAATGCACTGAGCAAGAAGCACACATATATGAAATCCTGTTATTGGAGCCTTGTAACCGGTGACAGGGCGACAGAAGGATACAGAGGAAAAAAATTTGATTCTCCTGAAAAGCTAACTAGTGGTTGTGGACGGTTGTCTGATAAATGGGAAGCAAAAGAGGTTTATATGTCTATGACAAGGACTTCAGCAGGCGGAGATGCCTCGAAACTGATGGAAAGAGCGTGTTACATCATCTTCCTAATTGCCTTCTATATCTTCGCATAATTTCAACTTACAAAGGGGCTATACTTCCTCAACGATACCCCTTTTCCTTATATCTCAGATCCTATCTTACAGTTCTTGTTTGGACGTTATTGTTTGGACGTTGAGTAGGGCCGGAAATCACAAGTATACTCCACGGCACATTTTCATAAGTACTATGAGGATTAGTTGTAAATTCAGAGCAGGTAACCCATGGGGAACATAACAGTATTGCATAAAACGCAGTGCACAATTTGAAGGGTCTTAAGGGCATCAATGCGTAGGTAAGTTGCTAATTCCAACCGCTGCTAGTCCCATCGATAAGTTCATTGGCTGCTCTTTGAAAGCTGTGGCAAAGCTATATGACAAAGCATGCTATATGATACTATGAGATTGAGCTTACACGCGCTTACTCCCAGATCAGTAGGAGGAGCTGAAATTACAACGGCCTCGCCCACAAAGTGTGAGTCGAGTGCTACGTGCAAGAATGAGCGCCAACCTGTTCGACTTTGATATTGACGGAGTATAGCGCTTAATCTTGCTGAGCATTCTGTTGATCCCAAGGGACACAAAGAGGCGCGTCGAAGGGTTTTTCTTGTAAGTGGAAGTGTTGCTTAAGAATGTTGTCTCTCCAAGTTTTCCTGTATCATTCAACTACATCATGATAAAAATTGGCAGAGAAGATCTTCAGCTCTAGTCATCATGCCGGCCAGTCGGCCCGCATTTACAGATTGTTGAAGATCAATTACGATGCTCGATAGAACGGCAAAGGCGAACCTTATTAATCAAAGCTAGATTCTGCACCAACATACCAGCAGGAAACGGGGACGTGACGGACCTACTAGTAGGGCAGATGAGGTTGGTAGATTGAGAATAGTCAAGAGGCGGCGACGAGTGGGCGGCTTCGACATATGGCGTTTGTCTTGCTGGAGTTATCCTTAATTTTATTCCTTTATTTCCTATCATTTTCCTATTATCTCCTATGTATTTTATCTCGCCATAGCCCTTAGGGCGGCACACGAGTTATGATATTTTTAAGGGAAAAAAAGAAAAACTGGAGGGCATCAATGTATCAAAAATAAAAGCATATACGGTCTGGGCTGCATGTTGAAGCCTACAGAGTATGCACGGTACCTAATCTATGGTTTTCCAGTATCTTTATAAGGCTGGTATACCCGCTTATGGAACTCTTTGAGGTATACTAGTACAGTATTCGTACAATAACAGTCACGTGACTACAAACGCTGGTAATCCTTGAGCGTTGCTACAAGGCCGAAATGTCTTCCGCACACAGAAAGCTGCAACGCTGGCACGCTAGTAATTTGCCATAAAAGTCTCGCAATGTAGTCTAGAGGGTTGGTGCAACCAGACTACTCGCAATGAGGAAGTCGAACTTCCCAATCAGGAGGAGAAATGCCGGTGCCGGTGACTAGTCTGGTTAGCACACTGATTCCCGGACTAACTGTAGATAATTGGTACAACAAGCTTACAATTCGGATTGAAGGCTGCATGCACAAACTAGATTCCTAATGTAAGAATACCCTATGTGGTGCATGCTGGTCTCCTTATGGAGCTTGGTATTTGAGATTGGGACTGCTGCCAATTTAAAGTTCAACGACAACTAAGGCGTGCGAATACATACGAGACCTACCCTGCTGCCTTTCTCTCCTAGTCCAGTTTGTAGCAAAGGTACTATGACTATTTGGCTTGTGTTTGGACAATGCGTGCTCTTGACTAACGCTCTACGCCCTAGAAGTACGTTCCTGTTGTTCCTATTATGAAGAATCCCTCCCTGCACTTGGCTCCTTCAGTAAACGGACGGTTCAAACACGTCCAGATCCAGGCCTGATCTTCACCTCACGAGTTCTTCCGTAGAAAATCACGGACGATTATAAGTGGTACAAGAGTGCAAAACTGAGAATTACGGGAGCTCTTCAGCACAAGACATCCCAAATAGTCAACTTCTGTTGACTATAAAAAAAAAATTGATCCAAATGGGCTCAATCGGGAATTGAACCCGAGACCTCTCGCATTTATGATACTTAAGTACCCAAAGCGAGAATCATACGACTAGACCATTGAGCCGCCATTGGTAATGGGAATTATAAAACCTTATAAGAACTGCATGCTTCTGAAGTTCAGAGATTTCGTACAGTAGCGCACTTTGTGGCAATCACTATTTATTTCCTTTATCACGCCATGTCGCTTTCCTCTATACCACGTTGCGAACAAATCTGAGAGGAATTGAAGCCCTTTCTGTAATTCGTTCCAGAGTCAATAGCGACCGAATAGTACATTATCATGTAATAACCCTAATTTCTGGATTGAAATGGAGGTTCGTGAACCAATCCGACAAATTCGCGTACTACGTGCTTCGCAGAGCCGGGACTTCCAGCGATTATGACTGTACCTGTTCATCGTGAATGCTCTCAACCACGATGACTCTCTTGATATTATTTATTTAAAGGGTCTGAGTGCCGCTCTTGGTTGGCGTGCATTGAAAGCGAGCCAAGTATCCTTGACTTCGTTGCAGTGGGAACGACTGCTTTACCAGATTGCTTATTTGTATTGTTTGTCACCATTTTTGGCTGCTGAGACAGAATATTTGTTCATCTCAGCGCACCTTGTGTTGGCAGCCTTTGAACATTGACCCTGAATGCTCCTTTGTGTATTTCTTGGGAAAACAAGTAGCTGGGTTTTGAGCCGGAGCTTCACAACTTCTGCTAGGAGAGAGACTGCATTGATTATTATTATTATCATTTTTTTTTAATATCATTACTCGTGTGCCGCCCGGTAGTCTGGTTTGAGACTGGTGCCGCCCTATGGGCTATGACGAGACTAATTACATAGGAGATAAGGTTAGGAATTAGAAAAGTAAAATAGACCTAAGGGCCAGTAAGTCCAGCACGGGGCACGGGGCCGGAACACGGGGCCGGCCCCCCCCTTCACCCGTGGCCGGGGGCCTGTACATCGCCTCCAACCCCCTGGCCATCTCCTCCCCTACACCGACTGCATTGATTATGGGACAGTCTTTCAATTTCTCATGACTCTCAAGACTTGGAAGTGTGACATCGCTCAAGAGAAACCTTGATTTTCATTCTTGGAGAAGACTCTCTAGCGCCTACTCCACGGTTGTTGAGGTCAAGAAGTCGCAGGTACCAGTAACAGCATGCCCAACTTGGTAGGCGCTGCAGACCATAAACATGCATAGTATGCATTCTTTAGATCAAAAGAACCTTGCTTATCTTGAACATCCCTCCGGTTGCCACGAATCAAGTGGTGCCAAGAGAGGTGACTTGTGATCATGATCATGTGGGAATTTGGCAGTGCAATGTAGGCTCAGCTGCAGCTATGACAATAGCATGCAAGCCTTTATTTCGATGAGATGAGCCAACAAAACACTGCTACCTTAACAGTATCCGCCGGGCTAGAACTCATCTCAGCGGCGACCCCACTGTATGCCCTGCCATGGCGAACAGCTGCAAGCGGGGTTATATAAAAAAGAGTCCACTGTATGGTGACGTATATTGGCGCAAATACCGGTGATCTATAGCTAAAGCCCTAGAAGGAGAGGAAGAAGAGGAACTGTTGAATCATAACAAATTCTCAAGTAGCAGTCGGAGGGCTAAAAAGTTTGCTGAGGGGCAGCCCACCCCAGACAGGGCAAGCAGGAAGTGTGTAAGAGGAGGGAAGCAAACGCTTTAAAGGACGTGACTGTGATGTGGGTGAAGAGCCATAGAGGCTTGAAAGGCAATGAAGGGGTGGACAAGGCTGCCGGGATTGGCATACTCATATCTTACCAGGAAAGGGCAGTCACAGAAGCTGGTGTGAAGATGATAGTCAAGAGGCAGAGAGCTAGGGAAAGAAACAGACTGGGTCTAAACTACAGGCTGCTTTACAGACTAGGGTACATGGCCAACATACTGGGTGGTGTATGGTCTAGAATGCAGGTGGTGCAGGATGGAGGAAGAATCAATGGCTCACATTTCGTCCAACTGCGAGGTATGAAAGAAGAGGTTGCCGGTGGCCGGAGGGCGATAATGAGACCACTGATACCCAGGATGACGGGCCGGACCCCCTGGTAGAGTTAATGATTTGGATGGATAGATGAGACTGCGTTGCAATAGCTCTGATATTGGGGGGTTTCTGTATGGTTTGCTATTTTTTCTCTTAATCTCTTTTGTATATAACCTCGTTGTAGCCCATGCAGCGGTATACAAGTAATGATATATCTATTTAAAAAAATACCAGTGATTCGATTTTTCTGATGCTGCCGGTGCAGAGCAGTCTGACGGTTGTATGAAGGTTATTGAGAGTATGCCAAGTAAGCGTACAATAACTATCCATTATGCATATGAGGCAGTAGAGGAGAATTATCGAAAGTTGTCAATTTAGATACTGACCTTGACCACACGGTCTGTAACGTTGTACTGTAATTCCTTCCCAGGAAGTGTTTCCTTGAACAGGCCATGTTTCTGTAACGTATGAGCTAACGTTTCTCGCACTTCCGGAAACTAGTTCAATATTAATATCACGATATTGGAAAGGAAATTGGTAGTAATCTAACAGACATGTAGAAATCTGTTTGCGCTGCAATTAAGCAATTTCGGTGATAAATAGTATGCATGTGGTTAGTTTAAATGAAAAGAGCGCGTTGAAGCACAATGGGTATCCTTTGTCATGTGATTCTCTTAGTGGCCGCCGTGATGAGTCTCCGATTTACAAGGTTGTATGAGGTCTGTGTTGAGGCGCAATCTAACTGCTAGAAGTCGAACTCATGCGAAGCACAAACGTACGTACATACCTCCAAAATACTAAATATGGTTGGTGCAGTATATACAGTTTTCCCTTGCTATACCGGACCTCACTGTACTGGAAACCTTGCTATACGGGATGCTCTCAGGCTGCTACATTCCGTTCCCATACAAAACCCTCTTGCTATACCAGACGCACTAAGAATACCGGACCAGACAGGAAATTGTCAGGCACTTACCCCCCTATCTCCATACAAATAATATTTGCTATACCGGATACACTAATACTTATACGTCCAATCTTTGGCTGCCCCACCTTTGCATTCACCTTGAACCAAACTTGACTTTCCATAATTAAATTAGGTTGTCATTGTTGATCTACTTCCCTATTAGGCAATTTCCTTTTTTTTTTTGCTGCCCATCCCTATTGTATTTCTGCCAAGCATTTTTTTTTTTTTTAACGGAAGGAAAACCTTGCTATACCGCACGAAAAGGGCAGGATTCTACAGATCCGGTATAGCAAGGGAAAACTGTATGTAAATACTTGTATTCTATCTGACAAGGTTGGCCATGGTAAGACTTCTGGTTTGACACAGGTCGTTCGTTGACAGGGAGCACTGGAGGAAGTATGCTAACTGACATGGAGACGCTTCTGTGACAGCTTTTATTTTGACGATGGTGGAAGAACGGGACGAGGGCAGAGTCAAACAGATCACCATCACATTCTCCCTTAGATCTCTCAGACAGCAAGGCACGTTCTGTTGTGCATTGATGTTATCTCTTTCTCCCTATGTTACTGTCGGAGATTGTGGGTTCTATGCCGGTTTTGTTTTTCTCCCTCCATTACTATTGGAGACCGTGGGTTAATAGGATGCGGAGTTTTATTCTACCTTTCCATTTTTCCTTATTTTCATATGTAACTAACCTGGCCATAGCCCGTAGGGCGGCATCGAGTAATGATATGGGGAAAAAAACAAAGAAAACAAAAAAAAACAGCAAGGCAATAAAGCTACATTCACTTTCTCTTTCCTGGCCGAGCTCATAATCTGTTACAGTACTGCATATGATTGAGTCTCAGTACCGGGCTATCGCCTCGGCGTGAACTAGCTCGGCACTCATTGTAGAGGCATAAAATCCATCTAGGGCATACTTGTTACGCAAAAGACAGTAGGGGCATTCAGACTTGAAATATCCTGACCGAATACCCACGTGTTCGCCAGATGCAATTTAGTTCGGCGCTGGTCTGAATACCCACCGAATATGAGCGGATATCCGCGCCGATTATGAGTACTAGTGCATGATCTGGTTACGAGACTAGTACTGGACGTGGCTCACACCTTTTGGGGGACGTTTTAACAACAAGACTATCGATTTAGCTAGTCTGGTTGCCTGGTAAGTCTGACCCGTAGGAGTATGGTCGATTCACGAACTCGGTCTTCCTGGTTAAGAATAGAAAGCTGTCGCTAACGAATTTGCGGCTGTCTCAGCTGTCACGTGGATAACTGGCGTGGATAGAGTCAGGAAGCACAAGGCTAATCGGATATCATTTTCATACCATTCGATGTTGGGTGCAATATCGGGATAAAGGACCCCGTATCCGCCGGATCTGGAACGTACATCAGCGCTTCGATTTGTTCCATCATCGGGTTGTTGATGAAAGAATGCAGAATGCGCACGGAAAATAGGATACTAGCAGAAGGCTACGGGCTTGATACAGAGACTGTTCTCTTTTTTAGAACCATCTCTATCTCCGAGTCCTCAAGATGCGAGTAATATCTCTGTCATTGGGGATAAGCAACGTAACCGACCTTGTTTCGCCATACCCCTCAAGGCATTATGCGAGTAATGAGAAAAATAATAATAATAATAATTTTAAGAATAAAAATTAAAAAAAATAAAAAAGCGGTCACTCAATCATTTAATTGAGATTACTGACCTGTTAAGGGGTAAACTACTGCCATAATGTTGAATATTGTTGGTATACCAGTGCAAATTTTCACCAGGCATAAGCTTCAAACCCATTAAAATCTGTCTTTGCTACAGGTATAATCATATGAGATTATTATGGAAAAATAACTGCTGAGCCTTCCGCCGAGACTGATAACCCCTGTGATTGGAGCAGTAACATAAATTATAAGTCTGTTTCTATCCCCAGGCCCTTGGAATATTCGAATTCCATGACACGTCTAGAAGTGCTTAATGTGTCTCCATGCCAATTCTCGCTACCACCCCCATGGCCATATGCAAGTGGTTATAATTGATCATACAAGGACATTTTGAGTTACAGGCTTTATCAAAGAGACCAACCAGATACAGAATTAGTAATCAGCT